ATTATGGCAAATGTAATACTGAACATATTTATTAATTATTTACTTTTTTATGTTCATTTAAATTTAGGTTCGAGTTCTTTATGTACGAAACTTAATGATGGGTACAACGGAAGAACAAATAAAAGAAGTTTTTGAACGATTTAAACCAAATTCAATTGAACGTGTCAAGAAATTAAAAGATTATGCATTTGTTCATTTTAAACAACGTGATGATGCTTTACACGCTATGAATCTTATGAATGGTATTAGTAGTTCTATTTTAAAATCTTTTTGAAACCGATTTTTATTTTAGGTTGTGAACTAGATGGATCAATTGTGGAAGTTACGTTAGCAAAACCAGTTGATAAAAATCAATATTTTAGATTTACACGTGGTGTAAGCCCATCAGCATTAACTGCAAATTTGCCAGTAAATCTTTATTATGTTTCTTGTTTTCTGAAATTGTATCATTTCTTGATGTAGTTTGCTTTTCAAGCAGGTAGTCTAGGTCCAACCACTACATTTGATTTGTCAGCTATACCATATTTAGCTATTCCCACTACAAACACAACAACAATGCAAATGACAAATGGCACAACAGTCATTCCGGTAGCCGTAAATCCTTTACAACAAAAGTAAGACTTTAATTAGTTAACGAAATAAAATTAAAATACAAGTCTCGAATTTTAGTAAAGCTATGTTGAGTGACTTTTGATTGGTTCTGTTTTAGAATATTAGAGTATTGGATCGAGACAACTCCAGAATATTGTATAGATCCTTCGATAATCTACAGATTCGAAAAAATTACACTGTTTAAAATGATTCCACAGCTAATTTATATTACTTAGCGTAAAGTAAATAAAGGAAAAAAACTATTTGTTGATTGATTTATAGATGAAACAGTGACGATAATCATAGATTCAATCGTTGACTAATTCACGCGCCTGTATTTGCACAAATATAATACTGGATAAACTGTTATGCAGATGATAAAACTATGACGATCTTCAGGTTTTTTTTGCTGGTAGAAAAGCCGATTTTTTATGTAAATTTCTCAACGTTTTTAAAAAAAATGACTAAACTCTGAGAGATAAGTTGTTGTCAAATAAGAAAATCGATTTTAAGAATTTCAATAAATTTTCTATAGACCTCGATTTCCTGAAGTCTGAAAATTCGTAAGTTATTTTCATAGAATTTAGTCATTTCGTTGAAAAAGCTACTTCAAGTGAAGAATTTGAAAACAATCCAAAAAATCATTTGTTTCATTGTATGTTCAACTTTTTTACCGTTAGTCTATAAATCAATGCTTAGGCTAATTTAAAGTTGTGCATAATATTGGTGCAGTACTGAAGCAGAGCAGCTTAGCTACGGTAAACTGCTGTCACAGATATTCAAACGCATCAATTCATAATGCGCATCGGTTACTTGATTCAAAGATTCATTGATATATTATTGAGGAACTTGATGCTTATATTTATACAAATATTATATATATATATGAAGTAGTATAAAAATAGTTCTTGATTATAGATGTGAAAGGGACGATTTCTATTAGTACTTTGATTACTCTTAAATGATTTTCAGGGAGTGAAAAACAAAGATTTCTGTCATTATTTATTTAATGTAAACTGATTCGATACCAAGGTTTCCAGATTTAAAAGAACTTTACCAGGACGTACAGATATCCCACAACTATTTCAAAACTGTTTTTCAATAGTCTTCTATCAATCACAAGAAGAAACATCGAATTTCACATGACCTTCCCCTGAAAAAAAAAGAAATAAAGACTGTACGTCCAAAACATGAAAGAAACTATTTCAATCAAAAAATAACCTCAACTGGCTAGGTAGACGTCTAGTCATAATTCATAGTCCAAAATGAATAATTGTTCGAAAATTCAGTAGCAAAAAAAGAAATCAAGTAAAAGGATCAATGTTAGCTGTGATATATCATGCAGTACATATGCATCATATAGATCCATTCTATGTCTGTATAGCTAATGAAATTTCACTAAATCAGTTTCATCATTAGCGCGTATTTTAACTATTTGTATAATTTATTTAATACCAACTCGCCCTTACGAATATCATAAGATTAGACATTAAACTTGATGTCTCTATATAAACTAATCTCTTGCAAGCTAATTTCATCAAACAAATCTAGCTAATTAGATAAGATTCATGATTATAAACGATTAATAAAAAAAAAGAAATTGATTTTCTGTCTGTACTTAACGTTAAATAAGATTATCTAATAGGAATGTACGTCGATGTGTCAATGCCACCGGTCGTCTATCTACAAATGGAAACACCAGTCCACCATTATTAAGTCGAACTACTCCAACTGGTGTTCTTTCATCATCATCTCGTCCAAGTCAGCCGTCACCAAATATAGCTCATCACCGTGGTGCTTACTATACAATTCTTCGTCCAACATCACGTCGAACTGATGTAGGTTCTTTTGAATATAAGAAAAACAATAGCATATGCATGTTGTTTTGTTTTCTATTCTGTGTGATTTGAATGCTCCGCATGGCTTAATGGATTTTTTGTAATTTTCATCGTAGGAAAAGTGTCTCGAAGATCTCTACAAAGAGACTTACGACGCGCTGTACAGCTCAGCTGCTAATACCACCGCTCCATCGATAATGATGATCGATCCGAATCAGCCTCAGTTTATTTTATCGGACCAGCAAACCCAGCAGCAGCAGTCAGAAGAGGTAATTATCTTACCAGGGTTTTGTTTTCTTCAATCGACGAATGCATAAAATTGTTTTCAGTATTTTACAGCTGCTTGAGGAGTAAGGAATGATTTTTATTATTCTAAATATTCTACTATTTTGTTGTCAGATTATACGAAAAATTTTCTCTATTGTTTTTTAATAATTGTTATGCATGTTAATCGAATCTTTTTTGCTCCAAGTCGAGTACAGCTGCATATATCCTATTTCACGATTCACTAATAAACTTTCAAATTAAAATTTGGGCTTTTTCTTTCTTTTTTTCTAACAAATATAGATTTCATTCACTCCAACAGCATTTGGTTTTCCGCCTGGAACTCCTCTCTTTCAACCAACTGCAATATATCCTCATCCACTTCTTACGGGACATCCAAATAGTGCTCAACCATTTCCTCAGCAATCATTTGTTTTTGCAACGACAGGCAACAATGGGCAAACTCAACAATTTTTTCATGCTCATCCTCAAGCTAATTTTTCTTTTCCATTTATTTTCACACCACCATTAGTAACACCGCAAACGCCAACATCAACTAATCCTGAAACATCAATTTATAGTTATGCAACACCAACATCATCAATTACAAATGCGGATAGTAGCACGTTTTCGGCCTAATCAAAAAATACCATTATATTTGCATTTTATTCATTTTCTTTTTTTTCTTTTGGTATTTAATGAGAGTGCTACTCTTCTCTTTAAATATTGTTTTTTTTATATTCAGCATATGTTGACCACGGGATATCTGTGAGCCGTGTGACTTCTTTTTCTTATACACGTGTGCAATTATGAATAGGAAAAATGTGTTCAACAAAACTCTTTTTGGTTTAAAAAAGAAATGTACAGCTGGAGATAATATTTTTCTAAATCGACATGACTTCAAATGCAAATGATATCAATAGTGAATTTTATGTTAAATCAAAGCTTGTCACTAACCGTACTTGAACAGTATAGCAAGCCATCATATATAGATTAATTATGAACTAGAAAATTATTATAATTTCAAAGATATCATCGAAGAATACGCATAGTCAAAAACGAGAAACTAAATAAATTGCCTAATGAATAAATGATAATCCTAAAATTAAAATATTTGAAAATCCAGAAAAAGGCCGATTTACTAAGAATACAATTCATTTGCGTAGAATGTTGAATTTCATAGATTTTGCTTGAAACAAGAAATTATCGGAAACAGTATTCTATGAAAATCGTCGGTAATTTGAATTTTGTTTTTGAAACAATTAGATACTACTAATTCTAAAAACTTATCGTAGAAGAAAATGCCGAAGAGATATTGGAAAAGATTAAAAGTTGTGTGATTTTTTCTCATTGCTTGAAACTGTTATATGCTGTTCTTGTATGACCGCAACTGAAGTGCTTGTTTTACATCAATGATTATGTGCGATAGTTTAACTGTTTTAACTTGCCAGCATAGAATTCATAGTTTTCTGTTTGTCCATGAACAGAATTTTAAATAACAAATACCTTTCAACGAAATATCTTAACTTGTATCTTTACAAAAGTACGTGTTATTGTTCATGGTGCTTATTTCCACAATCATCAATAGCGTTTAGAAGACTTCGAACAAAGAAGCGCATTATTGATCTAATATGTATCAGGAGGAAAGATATATAAATGTCACTGTAGATTTATCTTATTTGGCAATTCCAAGACGAAAAAAATAGCGGGAAAGAAGAAAATTGACATGGCACAGGTTGTATACCGGATCCACTCGACAAATGTCATGTGGAAAAAGATAGAAGAACGATTCAAGCTAATCTAATGATTGCTATGATAATAGATAAAAATCAGTCAATTTATTGTTCATAAAAAAGAAGAATTATTAGTGTGAAGAAAAAAAAAACTTCTTCTTCTATCTTATTTTTGTCCTAATAGTAAATGCAGAAGGCAACAAGCCGTCGCCATTAATGTCGCACATTGGCAGTCACAATAACAACATGTATTGCCATTCGCGAGCAGTAGTAATACCAAGGCTTTCTGCGTGTTAGTGCTCTGTTCCATTCTTATTTTGCTATTTTGTACATGTAGCTTGATATTGCTGTGCTTACTTCCATGCGCATGAAAGCAAAAGAATAAGAAGATATTTTTCTCGTCTTTCCATAGAGTCAATAAGAAAGAATTGCCGTTGCTTTTTGGTCCGAATGCATCTTGTTTTTTTTGGCTCCTTTCCTAGCAATGAGAAAACGAGATAGGATATTCTAAGTAGAGACACATACAAACACAACAACAACTGATTAAATTCTCGTTGTTAGTTTGAAGTAAGACATGAGTGTAACTCCAGGTCTTGGTGTTTTCAATAAAGATAAAGTAGCCAATAAATTTGGTATACAGTTAAAAGCTAAAGAAGTATTACAACAGCCCTCAACTCCATTAACAGCAAAGAAAATAGCAACATCAAGAACATCCTGTGTGCCAAAAAATAAAACAATCAGTGACTTTCGTACAGACAATAATGTCAATGAATTTCTATCCAATACAAACCCTACTTCGACATCGAGCATATCAGAAGCAACAAGAAAACATTCTGAAAAACCTACAACAAATAAACCTAGCTTGGGACCTGTGAATACATCTGTACGCCATGAACAATCTCATTCTTTGAATACAAATACCAATCATTCCACTGAAAAATCAACAGAATCTTTACCAGCGAAGCCTTTCGAAATATCAAAAAAGAAAATGATCACATCAACTGAACAAGCTGTTTCACCGGCACTACCCGTTAAGCAATCATCTGTACTTGCAACACATCAAAAAACGGAAGCTCAAATTCAACATCAAAAAGATCAACCATTATATAAAAGACAATTATCAAAAACATTAGACAATAATTCTTCGCCTATTAATAAGTCTACTACAGCAACAGCAGCAGCAGCAGCAGCAGCAGCAGCAGCAGCAGCAACAACAACAAATGCATTAGCCACTTCATTGAAACGGTAAGAGAACAGAATATTTCTTTTTAAAGATTCTATAAATAGCAAATTCTTTTTGAAAATATGAAAAGGAATCTTATTGTTTTGTTTTCTTTCGTAAATGCTGTAATTGGATTGCACGGATTGCAACATTTTATTCTAAAATGCGTAAATTCATCTGTGCACATTGAAAAATTATCAATAGAAACGTGAACTTCGTAATTGAGATAGAAAAGAAAAAAAAAATATATATATATATATATTCATCATACATCCACAATTATTCATCGCCATCTAACTTATATTTCGATCATGTGATTTGCTTTTATGCATTCCTAGAAAATCTATCCGGACGATATGTCCGTGTGTCTGTCGTCGATGTACATACAATACCCATATTCTCCTTCTGGTTCTTTTTCTTTGCATACGTGTAATATGATGCGATCTAACATATTGTTTTTCTCTGATTTTTGTTTCTTCATCGCAATCAACTTGAAAAAGAAAAGAAAATGATAATTATAAGACGTCTCGACATGAGGGAAGAAATGAGCTTCATTCGATTGCTCGTCATAATTTTGAGAAAAGCCTTGGCCTTGGTGTACAATTTTTATATAATAATACGACCTTTATTGGCGAGCGCTTACCAGTACACTTGCATCTAATGACTCACATTAGAGCAAATCTACGTTTCAAATGTACAAAAAGAAAAACTTGCGTCAAGAAGACAAAAAAAACCGAAGGACACACCTAGACGTACTAAAAGGCTTTTACTTTAGACAAATCCAAATCAGCTGGTTTGATACAGAAATCATCTGCAATTTTTCAAATAAACAGTTTTGGCTATTATTAAATTAAAGAACTTATTATTCTTTATCTACTAAATCAAATTAAGGGATCAATGTCTTATTTAATAATAATACTTCTCGCTTATTTACGTTCTGTTTTTGTAGAAAATTATCATCATTATCGAATTTTCTTTCTTTTTTTCTTCTTCTTCTATCGTTTCTTTCCGTTCTTCATCAAAACCTACGTATACGACTGATTTCTCCTTCAAATAAAACGGCAACTATACCTTTGTACAGTAAGCGTGTCAGGTTGAAGTTGAAATACATAGCCATACATGTGCATTATGTTACGTATCTTTTCGTTTTGATAATATTTTACTATTATTATTATTATTATTATTATTACTATTGTCGTCACATAGTTGATGATATTGGCTATTCAGTCTGGTGCCTCATCTATTGTGGTTGTAAGGATTGTTTTCACTCTGTATTACGGATACAAACTTTTAAAAAAAGGACGGCTAGAAAATAGTTTTAGAAAATGTCATCATCAACGTTTACCCAACAGAGATGGACATCCGTCGATGATTTGACGACGAAGGACAACAATAACAAAAATATGACTTCATTTTTTTTGCAAGCATCATTATTATCAGATTCCAATACATTTACATTTACATCTCGACCTTCACAATCATTAGTCTCACTAGTGAAACCATCATCATCATCATCATCATCTCCATCACCTTCATCTGGCTTTCATGATAATGGTCGTTCTGAACAAACAAAACCAATTTCATCTCGTGTTGCTAATATTATTCATCAATTCGAAGCGCATAGTTTATCATCAATGAATCATAAGCCAAGTAAGCTATCGCCGCCAGCTCGTATTTCTGTAAAAAAACTATTCGAAGGAAATTCTTCACAAAATTCACCTGTTGTTATTGCTGCTGATGTGGAAACTTCTTCTACTTGCATTCCATTCAATTCTAAAAAAGCAAATAAACCACAACCAATCATCGTCTATGAAACAGTAGCCCATAATGATAGATCACATAATCCTGAATCAAGCTCCCCAGTCATTACTCCAGACAATTCTTCAAGGAAAATTTCTTCTCAAAATTTAACAATATCTCAACAAAATATTGAAAGTGATACTGATTCTGCTATACATACAATGCCTGCTGTAATGAAAAACGATACGAATTATTCAGCTACAATATCACGTTCAAGTACAACTGATTCAACTTGCTCATCGTTGTCTTTATCCGATTCTTCAAGTCGGCCACATTTTGATCTTTCTACTAGCTTTTCAGCAAAAAAACAGCATGATCTTGATTTAAATTTAAGATATTCTCAACAAAGCTGTTCTTTGTCACCATCACCTGCAAGAAGAACAACTTTCACAAAAATAATACCATCAGCAGTAACTTATGAAGACAATGAAAATCTTCAATCCTCAAAATTACATTCACTCACTACACGTTTTTGTTCATCTGAACTAAACATAGCTGATCAATATCGTCAATTTTTATCTTCAGATACTATTCAATCAGATTTGAATTTATCTGAAAATTCCACAAAAAAATTCTTCATTAATACAAATTTCCCACTAAAATACAAAAGGGATTCATTTATTCGACTATATGGGTAATCTATACATGTACAACTAATATATTACTTTATTAAAATAATAATAATAATAATAATAATAATAATAATAATATATCAATTTTATCATTCTCTTTTATCTTGTTCAAGTCTTAGAAATTTTTGATTATTTCGAAAATATTTGATTAGAAAATATAATAATTCGTCCATTTATTATTTAGGCCTGATGCTTTACTAGAACATGGTCCCCATACATCTCATGATGTCGTACTTGAAGAAGGTATTTAAAAGGATTATCTTTAAAAATGTATTTTTTATTTAAATACTATTTATTTAAACACTATAGATATTGATCCACCATTTAAACCACGTATTGTTACAGTACAAAAGAATAAATCCGTTACAGATCAATACGAACTTCTGGAATTTCTTGGAAGGTAATTTTAATTTTTTTCCCTTTATTACTAAAATTGGTCATGAAATTTAGAGGGAAATTTGGCGAAGTAAAAAAATGTCGCGAGCGATCAACAAAACATTTATTGGCTGCAAAATTTCTACAAATCAATCGAGAAACAGATCGCACTGAAGCATTTAATGAAATTGAAATAATGAAAGCCCTTCAACATCCACGACTTCTACAACTTTATGATGCGTTTGAAACAAAATCAGATATTTGCCTTATTATGGAATTGTAAATATATATTCTTATATTTTTTTTAAGTAACAAGAACATTTTTCTTTCTTTTTCTCTGTTTAAGAATTACTGGTGGTGAATTATTTGAGCGTGTCATTGATGAAGATTTTATATTAACTGAACGTCTTTGTGAATTATATATGATGCAAATATGTGAAGGAGTCAATTTTATGCATTCATGTAATATTATTCATCTTGATATGAAGGTTGTAGAGTTCATTTTTTGTTTTATTTTTGAGGTTTATTAATTTTTATATTATTTAGCCGGAAAATGTTTTATGTTTAAATCGTGATGGTCACCGAATAAAAATCATTGATTTTGGACTTGCTCGAAAATTCGACCCAGATAAACAACTTAAAGTACTATTTGGTACGCCTGAGTTTGTTGCACCAGAAGTTATTAATTTTGATCGAATCGGATTTGGCACTGATATGTGGTAAGCTATACAGTCAGCACACGCTTTTTCAACTATTCGTTTTTACGTTCGTTTATTCTCAGGTCTGTTGGAGTAATTTGTTATGTTTTGTAAGTAATTGAATAAAAAAAAATGGAAAATTATGCAAAAAAAAGAAAAAATTCTATTTAGATTATCAGGCTTAAGTCCATTTATGGGCGAAAATGACAATGATACATACACAAATATAAATCGAGTTAATTTTGATTTTGATGATGAAGCATTTACTGATATATCAGATGAAGCAAAAGATTTCATTTCAAAATTACTTCTAAAAAATAAAGAGTATCAATATTTTCAGGAAATATTGTCAGAAAATAAAAATATGTGTTTCTTTCTACTTTTCTATTGTATAGTGAACGTCTTCTAGCTAAAGATTGTCTTGCTCATCCCTGGTTAACTCGTCGACCAAAATTAGCCTCAACTCCTAGTGATGAAGAAACAGCTGAAAAGAAATTATCAACAAAAAAGTTACGTAGATTTGTTATAAGACGACGTTGGCAGGTTAATAAATTTACGTTTACAAATATTAATTTTAATATAAACTTAAAACTTCCTATTTAGAAAGCGGTTAATGCTTTATTAGCATTGAAACGTATGGGAATGACATTATGAAAATACCACGACTCAATTTACTATTTTTTACTCTCCTATTACTCGCACAATATTTTATATTCGAGTCGCGCGTCTTTCACAAAGAAACATTGCTTTTCCTGTTTGTTTTTTTTATTTTTATTTTTATTATTATTTAATTTTTTTTTCGCTGTTACTACCTGTGGTTCAATTCAATTTGTACGCCTAGAGAGTAGTGCGTGTGTATGAGACAGCGAGAGTTCAATGTTCGTGTGTACATTATTATAACTATTCTTACTTCTGCTATCAGAAACAATGAAATATACGGGAAAAAAACGAAATCTAACCAGCCTTTTAAATATCTCATGTACTTCTTTTTCTTCATAAAATCAATAATTTCTAGAACTAACTGATGAATATACATGTATATTCAATTTTTTCAGCAAATTTCGCTCGAATAGTATTTCATATAGGAAATGCTTGCTCATATTTGGGAACTATACTTAAAACCATTTTACCTGATCGTGCAAATTTTATTACTTGTTTCATTAATATCTAATATTACAAAAAGCAATCGATAATTACCGAATGATGCCATACATTTCAAGTTTCTAATTATTTATTAAGCAGAGTACTTTCAGAATAATTCGATATTGATATTGTTAGGTCCTTTCCCCGTTTTCTTTATTATTCTTATTCCTTTCTTTTCAAAACCAAACAAGCGAATGAATCTACAAACAAGAAAAACAACAAAGAATGTAATTCTCTCTCTTTCTCTTATTCCATTCTTTATCGTCCGTTATCCATGATGAAAGAGCCATTGAAAAAGAGGAGTAAGAATGCCATTGATGTACAGTGATGATATCATACGAACATGCAGTCTCCTTATGTCAGGAGATATCTCTCCTGACATAACAAATTCTATGGTTTAGTACGAAACCATTGGGGTTTAGTAAGAAACCATTAGAATTCAACTCTGAACCCTAAAGGTTTTGTATTTTTCTTGCTAAACCTTTTTCTGATGTACGGAACTTAAAAAAGGTTTCGTAGCAAAAGGTTCTTCCCGTGTATCCAGCGGAAGAACCTTTAAAGGTTCCGTGGAAAAAAAGAAGTGTTTTTCAGACAGTATGATGCATTTGTATGCTTTTTCAAATCTACCGAACCTTTTTCCAGGGTTCGGTGGAAAACCTATTTTTTTAGAGTGTACGATGCTTCCTTCAGAAGGTGATTTTTGCAGGATTTCTTTGATGCTTTTTGTATTTTTCAGATTTCTCATGATCCCTGTTGCAGGATGGAGCAAAAATCGCCCAATATGGATCTCTTGATGCTGGCTATCGAATGCTGCTTTCCACGATTCTCTACGATGCTTCCTTCAGAAGGCGATTTTTGCAGGATTTCTTTGGTGCTTTTGTATTTTTCAGATTACGCATGATCCCTGCTGCAGGATACGCGGAAAATCATATGGAGTTTACTTGAGATGCGGGCGAGCATTTTAGGTTATAGAGAGTGCTCCGACAAGATCTGTTGGAAGTATGATTTCTGTTATTGTTGTGTGATTTGGAGTAGATGTTTTTTGCTGCTTGCATTTGGTTAGAGTGATTCCTATGGAAATGTAGTAGAATTGATGTCTGTAGTCTGCGCACTATTGATGAGAGGGGTTTAGGAATGTATTTTTTTTCTTCAGAATTACGGCCGTATACGGTCGGTCATGATGTTGGTACGGTCGTTTACGTTGCAGTGTTTGGTCGTTTCCTGTTTATGATACGGCCGTATACGATCGGACTCGGGTTCAAAACGGTTGGTGTGTACTACCGTATACGACACGGCGATATACGGCCGTAATACGGCGCATACCAAAACGTTAAAATACGGCCCGTATACGGTCGTAAATTTGGCGTATACGGCCGTATCTAGTCGTCGTAATGCTCGACCTGGGTATCGTTTGAAACAGATTTGAATGTAATTACAATTCTGAGTGGATTTTGAAACTATCGTAATGCTCGCGCTAATTCATTTGAATTATAGTTTATAAGAATACATATCATCCGAATATGAAACCGAAGTGTATCCTTTATCCCTTACGAAAGAGAAAGAAGCGAGTGTAAAATATTTAGAAGTGATATTTTCTCTTTCGACAAGCAAAATGTTTTGTAGAAAATATTGACCGATACTGAACTATCTTCATCGATAACAACGATTGTACGCCGCTGTCTTTGCCGTCCAGATTCATATCTGCCGAGTATAAATAGTAGATGATTATTCGTCATCTTTGTATGATTTCTTTTTTCTGTTAAATTTTTCGTCTAGGCATCTTCGTGTATAAGGAAAGAAAAGAAATCGAGAAATAGTCCTATATATATGCCTATCAAAACATATTTCATAATTGATCGTACCACGTACACTAATAATAAAATGAACTTTCATATTCATATCACGGTGAGAATTCTACTGATTTTACTTTCTTTTTCTTCAATTATAGTACCATTTTCTTTCGCAGCTTATATAATATTCCTGGAAACTTCAACCATGAATAGAGAGAAAATAGAAATTGTTGCAATCCAGATGATTGCTATCAGCTGACTTATATGCTCAGTTTAAGTGCAATTGAGACTTGAGTGATAGTTAGATATTTTCTATTATTTGTTAGCTTCAATCAACGCTTCATACAGTATTGTCAACATTTTCAGTAAAGATAAATGAATCCATTTTATAATATCTTTTGTAGCAGCTCAACTGAACAATTTAGATATTTTACGTTTTTCGTTGAAAGCAATTTTGTTTTATTAAATTTGACGACAGGAGTTTTTATAAGCTTATATGAAAATTTAGTAAAAAAAGCGAATACCAGCTTCACGTGAACTGTAATACGCACATATGTAATTGACCGCCATCTACAAGAGATTAACTGTGCTCACTATGTTTTGTGAGATATTACGATTCTTTGCCATGAATCAACTTGAGTGTCCATTTAGATTCATATCAACAACACTGGACGTAATTAAAATTAAGAATAGCTTTTAAGACTATATCATCGCTCTTACAATTTTGTAAGAAAAACTGCTGTTTGGCTTCAATTAGGTATCGTATTTGAATCAATACCAACCTAGATGTGTGCTTTCGAATTTTTCAAGCAAAGAAAAACCCGCTATGTTCTAGTTGAACATTTTGTGTATATGAGGAAATCATAAGAATCCTTCTTTTTTTTCTAAAATAGCTCCATCCACAACAACCAATAATCAACGTGAACGCAAATCCTGTGTTTAACAACAATGGACCAAACAATAATTATATTCCAGCAAATCCAATGGGATTTTATGCACAACAGCATGGAACAACAATGCCGCCCATGCGTATGCAGCGAGCGGACTATGCCCACAGCTACAATGACTATTATACTCAACAAACGCATATGACTAGTAGCGGGAATTATAAGGAACAAATGGGAAGTATATCCAAGTAAATTGTTTTATTATAGTTTTTTTCTGCTGGCTATTTGAAAAGATAACTACGTTTTGAGAGAAGTTGAATATTTCTATGAATTGATGGATCTTGTATGAAGAAGCGTTCAGAAATAAAAATTAATTGCAGAGTGAAATTAGAAATAGCTCAGTGCAAAATATAACCCATTCTAAAATGTGCTGATTTTCTTGAAAAATACAGCAGCATCTTCTCCCATCCAATGCAAGATTGATTTTATTTTATTTCATATAACTAGATTTACTAAAAAGGAAACAAATGCTTCATTTTTTTCTCATTTAGGCCTGTTATGAATGCGGCGAACTTATTCACAAAAACTCAAACAAATGCAAGTGGAAAAAACTGTAGACGCAATCGAATGAACACTTAGTTTTTTTCTTTATTGTCATCCCTTACTGTTACGAAATAAATATCTACAGTTAGAAAGTCATATTTTTCATATTTTCTCGTTGAAACCTTACGAAATGTTACATGCTCTCAACATATATCTATGCAGTGTTTATATCAGGGTTGCCAGCCGCACCCCATTTGGGGGTACAGTACCCCATTTGAGCCTTTTGTACCTCAAAAAAAATTTGTACCTCTGAGGTACGCATTTTGTACCCCATCTGCATTCTTCAATGTTACGACTATACTGTCATCCATATTTTGGTTGAAACTAAGAAAATTTCTGTCTCTTTATCCAACATTTACTATTGATAAAGATGTGAAGCGTCAATTATATTGGTTGGCTGCTAATGGTCATGTTTATGAAGAATTCAACAATGGCATATGCAACGAGTCCCATGATGAAGATAATCTCATTC